TAATAATAATAATAATAATATAATAATAATAATAATAATAATAATAATAATAATAATAATAATAATAATAATAATAATAATATAATAATAATAATAATAATAATAATAATAATATAATAATAATAATAATAATAATAATAATAATAATAATAATAATAATAATAATAATAATAATAATAATATAATAATAATAATAATAATAATAATAATAATAATAATAATAATAATAATAATAATAATAATAATAATAATAATAATATAAAACAGTTTATTTCTCAGCGTAGTTCCCCTGTCTACACCTCATTTGGTATAATTTGTATCATCAGTCGCTCGATAAGCACTTCGAGAACAGCATCATGGGGCAAAAATATAAACATTAAAAAGAAAAAAATAACATATTCAATTTGACGAACGTCAAAGAGATAACAAATACAATCAAATATCATTTAAACTGTAACAGATTCGACTCGGTGCCTGAAATAAATCTTGCTTTGAGAACACTATAATACAAAACCGTAAATTTCGCTGCAGATTATAGACTCCGAATCCTCTATTTCAATGACTGGTATGCGGAGCTTGTCTCGACTAAGCGCAGTATTTAATCTCCGACAAATAGCAAAACAAATGATGGGACATATTTCTTTAAAAAATCAATTGAGAAAGATTTGGAAGTAGGAGCAGAGAGAGGGAGGAAGGGAGGGAGGGAGACGCGGGGAAATACTGGAAGAGGAGAGGAAGCGAGAGAGAAAAACCTTTCAAACTAGAACGAGATCATTGAAAGCGAAGGAAACCACCATGATGGGCACATAAATATAATAAAAATAAAAATACCGGTTGTAAAAGTCATCACACTAATTTTAAAGCCCTAGATTATTTAAAAGACTCCCCCCCCCCTAACTAACCCCTCCCGAACTGCAATGACTAAGGACTCAGAAGAACGCCGAGAACGTGACGTCACAGAGGCAATACGTGAAAGATTGAGGACGCACCTGAGGGAAATTAACACCCTCCTCCCTCCTCCCTCTTATCCTTCTCCCTCTCCCTCTCCATATCTCTCCACCCCCCCCCCTCTCCCTCTTCATCTCTCTCCAACTCCACCCTCCCCCTATCCCCCAACTCTCACGCCCCTGCGCCCCCTCTGCGCCCCCTCTGCCCCCCTCTGCCCCCCCCTCTGCCCTTCCTGCCTGCTCACACCTTCGTAATCCAACTCGTGTTTTTATTTCCGATCAGGGGAGGCGCTTGCTTGCTTGCTTGGCTGTCGAGGCGCTGCGACTCTCGATGCGAGATACCGTTATAACCGACCTTCGCTTATATATAAAACCGGATCTTTATATAGAAAAAGTAAAACAAAAAAGCAGGACAGGTTATTCAGGTCTATCAAACAGACACGCACGCACGCGAAGGCAGAGATATAAGCAAATATACTTACGTGCACGCATGCACTAACTGGTATAACTATACACGTCAACTCACTCACTCACTCACTCACTCCTCACTCTCTCTCTCTCTCTCTCTCTCTCTCTCTCTCTCTCTCTCTCTCTCTCTCTCTCTCTCTCTCTCTCTCCTTCCCTCCCTCTCTCTCTCTCTCCTTCTCTCCCTCTCTCCTTCCCTCCTTCCTTCCCTCCCTCCCTCCTTCCTTCCTTCCTTCCTCCTCCTTCCTTCCCTCCCTCCTTCCCTCCCTCCTTCCCTCCCTTCCTTTCTCTCTCCCTTCCCTTTCTCTCACCCTCCCTCTCCCTCCCTCCCTCTTTCTCTCTCTCTTCCCCCTCTCCCTCCCTCCCTCTCTCTGTCTCCTCCCCTCTTCCTCTCCCTCTCTCTTCAAATTATAAAAATATACAAAACTGAAGAATATGAGAACGGGGAGCTAATTCGTGTTGTTCAGGGTGATAAACCTTCTTAAATAGTGTGTTTTATCACCATGAGCAGCGCTTAAAAAGTGTTACAGAAGATAAAGAACGAAGGCAAATTGCAGCCCCAAGGAATAATGAAATCTAAAAGTGTGCAGATTATTTTTTCCTCTATTTTGTGTTGTATTGGATAGCGGGCCTATTGTAACACACGGGCGCGCGTGAGAGTCAGGTTGCGAGTGTGTGAGTGTGAGGGCAAGTGTGTGTGTGTGCGCGCGCGCGTTCCCTTTGAGATACAAAGATCGGACAGTTATCGCGAGGGATGAGGATGAAATGGCAGAATCCAAGGCTGCAACAAGGATCAACATGACAAGCGAGTTCATATCGCAAATATCCACTGCAAGCGCCCACGCGAAAGCTCGAAGCGAAATTATTATCAGTTCAAATATATTATTCCCAAACTTGTTCTAAAAATTATGTAAACATTTAACAAGCCCTTAAAAAGTATTACACGCAACAATCAGAACTTTCAATGATTTTGTTACTATAAATAACGAGTCACAAAAGCAACAATTAACTTAATTCTCGCTTTCCCTCCCTTCTTTTCTTTCCTCACTTCTCGTCCCACCCTACATTTACTTGTTCTCCCTTCACCCTCATCTCATCTGCTTTCTTCCTTGCCTCTTCCCCTGCCCCTCCCCTTCCTCCCCTTCACTCTTTCTCTTCCTCCTTCCTCTCCTCGCTTCCCTCCTTTCTCCCCTCGCCTCTCTCCCCACTCATTTATCGCCCTTCTCCCCTTTCTCTCCCCTCTCGCAGGCCGTGGGTGCTCTACCTGGACAACTGTGACATCGCTGACATCTCCCCAGGGGCGTTCTCCGGCACGCTCCCTACCGGCCTCTTCCTCAACGGCAACAAAATGACGTCCATCCCCGAGGTAAGGAACTCGCCTTCCCCCTTTCCCTTCGCCCCATACTCATCCTTGGCCACCCCTTCCCCTCTCGCCAGGGGGCTCTAACTCTCACAAATAATAATAATAATAATAATAATAATAATAATAATAATAATAATAATAATAATATATGAATATGGATACATATGTGGTATATATATAGCAATATTTCCAGCGTTTGTCTTGGGAGACTTTCCTCTGACCCCCCCCCACTCCCATCCCTTCCCCCTATCTCCACCTCTTCTTTAAAACCCCGCCCACCAAGACCTTGATCTTCAGCAGGATCATGGTCACCGCCTCACGCCCACGGGTGCTGGGCAAAGCTCATGAAATATAGTACACAGGAGTCTGGGAAGGAGACCGATCATGGAAGGAGTGGGCGAGAGTGAGGGTGAGGGTAGGGGCTGTACGGACTGGGGGGGAGGGGGTGGGGGAAAGAGGAAAAAGGAAAGGGAAAGGGAGTGGAAGAAGGGCGGGAAACAGGGAGAGAAAGAGAGAAGGAGAGAATTGGAGATAAAGAGAGAAGGAGAGAATTGGAGATAAAGAGGAGAGGAAAGGAGGAGAGGGGGGAGTATGTGGGAGAGGCGGGAATGAGGTAGACGGGAAAAGCGATACAGGAATGGAAGGAAGGATAACGTGGAATAGAAAATATATATATATATATATATATATATATATATATATATATATATATATATATATATATATATATATATATAATAAAAAACGAGCGGGAAAACAGAAAGACCAAAGGCAAGACTGAACCACATCCAGCTGTCCAGGCGACTCCCGTGCGCCCGCAAGCCCAAATCCCGACGGAGCACGCGGTCATGTTTGCAGGATGACGACGCGGAGATTATCATGTCAATAATAGAGTTAATAGTTTATTTAATTTAATTTAAACAATTTAAAGTTAAAATGAAGGTGAACAAGAGGACGGTCTAAATAAAGTCTGTATCATAGATTGTCTTCTAGTGGTTAAAACACATCTTATTCCTCATGTTTATCGTGACTTCATTACGTAAATTAGGTGCATACATATCACGTTACATTACTTCTTCCCCGCGCACATCAACAAATCCAACGCGGCGAGGCCACTTCCCCTTTCCACGGCCTGTCCCTTCCCTTTCCAAGCGGCTGTTTGGAGCCGCCCTTTACGCAGCCAGCCCATTCATCTACGCCCGGCCACACCTCTTTTCTAAAGCTCCCTCCGTCTAGATAAAATACAACCAAATACATAACTTAGCAGCTCTGGCCTTTCCCCTTCCCCGCCAGGCCACCTTCCGCCCCCTGCTGGAGAACATGGCCTCGTCGACGGCGCTCGTGCACTATGTCGACCTGAGCAAGAACCCGCTGGAGTGCGACTGCGCCGTGCAGTGGATCGCCCAGGACGCCACGCTCTCGCCCTTCGTCAGGAATGCCGTGTGCAGCAACGGCGAGGTCGCAGGGACACCCATCCAGGACCTCCCCGCTGACTTCTTCGGAGGGTGTTAAGAAGGAGGCAAGGGGAGGGCGGAGGGAGACCCTTCGGGACAGACGTCGCCAAGAAAAGGAGACGCGTCCTGCTCCCCCTCGGCCGACTCCCATTCCAGATATAAAGTAAGGAATAAATAACCCAGAGAGTTTGAGTGAAAGTCACTATCCTAACACAAATATCCGAACAAGGAGGAAGGAATGTGGGCATGACTATCCTACCTAAGATGTTATTCATTAATTCCCCCAAATAATTCTAGAAAATCCACTTATAGATGTAAAAAAAAAAAAAAAAAAAAAAAAAAAAAAATAGTGACAGCGATCGCAACGACGAGAAAAACAGATAAACCACATCCTTCTTACCCCGTACCCTTTTTTCTCATCCCAATCAACTCGCAATGGAAAATCTGGAGCGCCATTACGTGTCCCAAGGCCTCGACCGCGAGAGGAAATGGCAAACGGCGCAACATCATCACAACTCGAGTCCTGATGTTTTTGTTTTGACGCCTTTGGGAAGGATAATGATACTGCACACTCGCCGGTGGGATTCCACAGGCGTGGCTCTGAGCAGCGTCTTTGTGATAGGTGTGTGTGTGTGTGTGTGTGTGTGTGTGTGTGTGTGTGTGTGTGTGTGTGTGTGTGTGTGTGTGTGTGTGTGTGTAAAAAAATAGTCGAAAAACAATAATAAATAAAAAACTAACAACAAAGAAGAAAAGCAAGCCGGGCGTCCTGACCTTCCATGATGTAGAGCATGGAGCCGATGTCCCCCTCCTTGATGATGAGAGAGCCCGCCGCGTATTCGACGCTGTACATGCACTCGACGATCTCCTTGACCTGCGCCATCTCCAGGTTCTTGAGGAAGTCATTGTCGAGGATCGCCTGGCGGAGCAGCTCCTTCGATCTGCCGGGGGAGCGGGGAGAGCGCTATTAGAGGGGGGTGGGGGCAGGGATGGCGGCAATGATGATGACATTACACTAACAGGATACTAAGATGGTGGAGAGATTAGAGAATAATAATGATAATAATGATAATGATTTGGTAAAGAGAATTTGAGGAGTTTGTTGTTGTTGATGATGATTACAATAACAGTGAGATAGTGAGAATAGTGATGTGAAAAAATGGGGAAAACCGGGAGGTCTTCGAACGGCGCAGAAGGATCCTTTCATTGGATTTTAATTATGGATAAATGATATATAATATATGTAGTTATAGATGTAGTTACGGACGGATGTATTTATAAACGACATTAAATATGAATGAAACCTTGCAGTTCTACAAGGAGAACATATCTGGGATTACTTATATTAAAATATGATCACAAAAGTATTCATCTGTACAAGCTGAAAGGAAAATGACTATCAGCAGTAGAATTCAGCGCCTATGTGAAATCATCTATGTGACGAGGAACAAGGTATAAAACATCGGTAATGGAAATAAAAAAACAACAACACTATATTATAATATGCGATGAAAATAATAATAAAAAACAATTATGACCGTTTGTGAGATGGAAGAGTTTTTAAAAAGCAAATAAGCATTTTCTATGAAAGAGCCTGAAAATCCTGCAAGCAAACGCGATCTACCATCAATTGCTTTGCTGATGTTTTTGCCAATGCATCTGGAATCTCAGCCTTGCCACACACACACAATAATTACACACAAATCAGAGGAAAATGATCCCTATCATTCCCCTATCACTTTCTAATATTCACCACGAATTTGCAATTGCCATCCTTGTTGCATTATCAATTCACAAAACTTCAATATTGAGAACCACGCATCATAAACCATAGTACAAGTGTATATGATGTGTGTCTAAACAATATATGTAGAAGAAGAGAATAGTTTATCACAGGTCAGTAACCTAAATCAACTGCAGAATTTCTCAAAGATTGGTCGTTGTCCTTTCGCTAACCCACGATGAAACCAAAAGGTCTATTTCATACTATTATCTTATTTGTGTCAAATGGATTATTTAAATAAGCAACTTTGTTACCGCGTACCTGTTCACTTCATTGAATAATAGTCCCATAAGAACTGACATTCTCTATGCATTCCTCTTCTTGTTATGAAACACCCTTCCATTACATTAAACCTACACTAATAATACAACGTTAAAATATAAATTGATGAGTCTCCCCTTCACAGAAAATCTTCTACGGAGCCATCCTACAACTCTCTATGTAAGAAAACGGATTTGTAAGCCACGAGCTAGGGGTGACCAAAGAATTTCAATACGAGAGAAAATATTTCAAACCCGAGTTCCTAGAGTGTTTACTTAGTCATTTATTGAATTCTGTATCGTTACCATAATTATCATCATGATCACCACAATCATCATCACTACCACCATCAATCATTATTATTATTATTGTTATTATAACAAGTAACATGATAATTATTATCCTTATCACAATGAATAATGATGATGATGTTGAGTATGATAATGGCGATGGTGAGCATGATGAGTATGAGTATGATGATGATGATTATGATAATGAAGATGGTGATGATGATGATATTGATAATGAAGATAACGATGATAATGATAATGATGATGATTATGATGACTGGTGATGATGATGATAATATTAATAATAATAATTTATTAACCACAACGGCTGCAATAAAACAATAATAACAAAAAAGAATATATAATAATAATAATAATGATAATAAACATAATAATTAAAAAATAATAATAATAATAACGATAATAATGGACAAATAAGTCAGTTACCTATAAAGAGTGATAAAGAAAACGGATACCCGGAAAATATCTCGGTATATCAAGTAGAGAACGATGCTCTGACATCACAAACTATTATAAAAACATTTGTTGAATATTTTACCTTATCACGTAAATAGATGACTACACAAATGCAGACATTATGTTTCTTTCTATCTATACATATATACATACATATATGTATATACATTATATATATATATATGTATGTATATGTATATATGTTTATATATATGTAAATGTGTATATATGTGTAAATATGTGTGGAAATATGTTAAAATATATATACATGTATATACATATACATATATGTGTGTATATATGCGTATATACATACATATATATACATTATAAATACATATGTGTGTGTGTGTGTGTGTGTGTGTGTGTGTGTGTGTGTGTGTGTGTGTGTGTGTGTGTGTGTGTGTGTGTGTGTGTGTGTGTGTGTGTGTGCATACATACATAAACACACAATATATAAGTGTATACATATTAATATTTATGTAGATATATGTATTTGTCAGTATGTATGTATGTATACATACATATGTACAAACTCATATACATATATGTATATATATGTATATGTATGTATATAAGTTTATATGAATGTATATTTATATATATACTGTACATATATATAGACAGAGATGTATGTGTATGTATATATATGTATATATATGCATATTCATACATATATAATTATACATATATATACACACACACACACATATATGTGTGTATGTATATATACGCACACATACACATACACATACATACAACAGCGATGAGTAAAATACAGGAGCACCACAGCCCCCCTATTCCACAACGATAACAAAGCGCACACCTGGTGTAGTATACGCAAGTGTGTCCAACTTGTGGATTACCCAGCATCCTGTCACCGATTACTCAGGCGGCCGAGATAACGCCGCTTCCATTCGGCTGCCCGCTCACCGCCCTCTTTGTTTACCAATACGTTTTAAAATGGAAGTTTTTTAACGTCATCTAAACCGAGTCTACACGAGTGACTGACTATTTTCTTTCGTACACTTAGGTCTATGTCGCTTTTCTAACTTTGATTTTTTTTTCATTTGGAACTAATATAACGTTTTTATTGAGTTTAGTCACAAAACAATAACCGAGAAATGCAAGTGGCATTACGTAAATATACAAACTTTCAATTGGATAATTTTATAAGTTTAGAACGTAAAGGTTAAATATAAAACAATCTGCCTCTTTGATGCCCGATATGGGTATTTCAGCGAATACCATGTGAGCGCTTTAAAGCTATTTAGTATGCTACGTGAACTTAGAATGTTAAGTGTTTAGTATGTATAGCCACGTTATATGGTATGAATAGTAAATGCCTTTGAACTTTCAACTCTTTCTTTACATATCATTATATATATATATATATATATATATATATATATATATATATATATATATATATATATATATATATATATATATATATGTATGTATGTATGTATGTGTATATATATATATATATATATATATATATATATATATATATATATATATATATATATATATATATATATATATATATATGTGTGTGTGTGTGTGTGTGTGTATGTATGTGTATATATATTTTCTTTTCTTCTCTTTCTTCAGAGGCCTTATCGATTTTTCATAACACTATTTATTTGCCGTATCTTAGGCGGAGGATCATTTCTCACTGAAGGATTTCTCTCGCGAGGATGAAATGCTATACCTTACTCCAAGCGGCTTCGGTACCTCTGGCATGTCCGATTTTTCTTTGAGGATTTACCTGTTCCTTTGGTTCTCTTACTGTGCCAGACTTTCTACTTGTCCCTGCGCTCTCCCGTCCCCTCCCTCTTTCTCTTCTCCCCTCCTTATCGCATCCATCCCCTCCCACTTCTTCCCTCCCCCCCCCCCATCGTCCAAGCCCTCCTTTGGTATTCTCCGAAGCGTCCGAGAACCTTTCCCTCCCCTCCCCTCCCCTTCCTTTCCCTCCCCTCCCCTTCCTTTCCCTTCCCTTCCCTTCCCGCCCCCGGGCCCCCATGATGCTCCCTCGAAATTTCATCAGGTACTTCCAGATGGTATCGGGGCAGTGATAAGTGAGCCCATTAACAGACGGTAAACTCTGGTTATCAATGTTTAACCAATACGAAAAACATGGAGCCAAAGGATAGATTAACATTGGAACGAACATGAACCAATCGTCATCCAAGTAAATGCTATAAATGCATAGGAAACAGCGAAAGATTAAGGCGTCCATCTGGCAGTCGTCCACAGATAACGAACTATATATAAACAAAGGCTGCACGATAGGCTTTGCCAATGAAGTCACAGTAAGAAATCCCCAGCACACTGGGTCCATTATCGCCACCTTTTATACAACGCCCACACACATTCATAACATACATCCTCTGAAGGCCATAGATACATAACAGAGACACCAAAACAAAATATACCTTCGTGAATATGAGAGAAACCTGCCCCCCCATCCCCTCTCCCCCTCTTCCTACACAAGCAGGCAACGACGCCCCAGGGTATTCCGTCAGTCCTGCTATGAAGCTTGGTCACGTGAGATTTGATTTTTATCTTCTCAGTTCTTTCATAGTTTTGTTTAATAATTTTCATTGGCAGAAGGTGATGAAAATTAAGGAAGGAGGAAGAACAGGGGGAGGGAGAGGGAGAAGAAGAGGAAGGAGAAGAGGGAGGGAAGGAAGGAGGGAGGGAGGGAGGGAGGGAGGGAGGGAGGGAGGGAGGGAGGGAGGGAGGGAGGGAGAGAGAGAGAGAGAGAGAGAGAGAGAGAGAGAGAGAGAGAGAGAGAGAGAGAGAGAGAGAGAAAGGGGGAAGGAGGGGAGAACGAGAAAACAGATCAATGCCAGATGCCTCCTGCGACGACTTCTTGTAAATATTTAGGAAACATTTTGGACTTGTTATTCCGCAAATAGTCACTACAACTAAGCCAGAAATACTAACCCCGATATAAAATTAGCCTAAGTAACCACACACACACACACACACACACACACACACACACACACACACACACACATATATATATATATATATATATATATATATATATGAGAAAGCAACTAGCAATGAGTAAGAAAGGTGGCGTGGTTAGGTCAGTAACAATAAGTGCTAAAAATGGCGAGTGAGAAGAGATCTGTGATAGGGCTAAATAAGATTCGTCAATATATAGAGCTTATATTCCATCTAAAATAGAAATAAAAATTCATCCAAACGTCTACAAAATTCAATACTGGACCATGCATTATGGACTTTTTAAGTTAACATTCATGCCAGAAAGCGCCAACTAGGAATATTAGGTTCCATTACTGTGTTATATAAGTTCATTAGGTCGAGAGTGCCACAGTAGATAGGAAAAGCGGCAAAAAAAGCCACAGTAGATAGAAAAGGCGGCAAAAAAGCCACAGTAGATAGAAAAGGCGGCAAAAAAGCCACAGTAGATAGGAAAAGCGGCAAAAAAAAAAAAAAATAATAATAATCACTCTTCTAACTTCCTCTTGCCCCAAACCCCATCCTTTCCCATTCCAACATCTAAATCCACCTCTGCAACATCACCCGCCTCCTTCCCTCAACCCCTCTGTTGCAAGCCTACAATTTATGCACATTATAATGCATGTACTCATTATGATGGAGTGCGTATGTGCGCTCATGTTCAAACGATTGTGTACGAGTATGAGTGAGTATGCACGGTGTATGCGTGTTTGTGTGTACGTGTCCATGTGTGTGTATGCAAGAGAAGCAATATAAAAAAACAGATGTGTATATCCGTGTGTATATATTCATACGTGTGTATGTATATGTATGCATATATATGTGTAGGCATGTGTATATATATGTATACATATGTATATGTGAAGGAGTGGGTGTATATATCCGCGCGCGTGTGTGTGTGTGTGTGTGTGTGTGTGTGTGTGTGTGTGTGTGTGTGTGTGTGTGTGTGTGTGTGTGTGTGTGTGTGTGTGTGTGTGTGTGTGTGTGTGTGCGCGTGCGTGCGTGCCTGGCTGCACAAACAGAGCAACGGCCCTCATTCCCCGGCGATCAGGATGGCTCCGGAGCAGAAGGTGCTAAAAACCTCCGGTTAAAAACAGTCCGCCCCACGTTGATGAACCTTTGCACATATAATATAAAGACAATGAAAACGGAACTCGACTTACTAGCATTACTTGAGGAACTATCTTTCTTTAAATGGGATGTTGTAGGCGAAGAACAGAAGATACTAAATGATGGACACGTGCTGAATTGGAGAGGTAAATCCCAGGGTAGCAAGCAGGAATAAGGGATAGGTTTCTTAGTTCACAAACACTTAGAAAAGAAAATCGTGGCATTCTTTAGTATAAGCGAAAGAGTGGCTTCAGTAACAATAAAACTAAACAATAAGTAAAACTTAAAGATTGTTCAAGTCTACCCTCCAGCCTGTAGTCACAGTAGAAATAGAGAGCTTCTATGAAGACGTTCATTTAACCAGCAAGAGTGTAAAAACCCATTTCACAATAATTATGGGAGAATCAATGCCAAAATAGGTAAAAATACAGAATCACGGAATAGGCACTAGGAATGAGAAAGGACAAATGCTAATCGAATTGGCGAAGGCTCGATCACTTAATATCAAAAATACATTCTTCGAAAAAAGACTAGAGCATAGTGTGGAAATAGAAGTCGCCATCTGACAAACGAAATTGACTTCGTAATTTCAAATAGGCGCGAAATAGAAAAAAATGTGGAAGTCATTAATAAAATAAATGTTGGCAGCGACCACAGAATGGTCAGAGGCCAAATTAAATTACACCTCAGAAGGGAAAGGAATAAACTCATACGAAAACCGCAGCCAAATTTAGCTCATTTGAAAACTAGTGACATAATTTAGCCTTAACATCCAAAACAGCTATTCACTTCTCAACGACGAAAATCCTAACATGAAAGTATCGTCAAACAGTGACAAAATAGAATTTGCTGAACTAACAAAGATTACAAATAAAAAGAAGAATGTAGGGAAATGCAATACTTAAATAATAAATGAAACAGTGATCTCGGGTACCAGGATGAAAACGGCTAAAAGGAGACTCGGAATAGGAAGAAATCAAATGTATGCGATAAAGAAACCAGACGGAGAAGTGACATATAATAAGAATGAAATCGTAAGAGTAGTGGAAAACTTTTACAGGGATCTATACAACTCAAATGAACAGCCACGCGGTAACTAGAGAAGTGCCTAACATAACAGAAGAAATAAAAAGAGCGCTTAAAGGCATGAAGAGAAGTAAAAACCAGGTGAAGACGGAATTAGTATGGACCTTAAAATAGATGCAGGAGAAATTGCAACAGTGAAACTAGCCAATCTTTTAACAAATACCTTCTCAACGGAAAAACTCGCCATCACAACTCGCATTTCTAACAGTCTGGATTCTAACCAGCCTAGAGAACAGGCAGGCTTCCGTAGTAGATTCTTAACAACAGACCACTTACACACGCTTGCCCAAATAAGAGAACAAATAAACGAATATAGGAAACCCCTGTGTATGGCATTCATCGACTATGTAAAGGCATTTGACTCTGTACAAATACCAGCAGTACTAGAAGCTATTCGAAGACAGGGAGTAGAGGAGGTATATTGTAAAATATTGGAAGATATATACGAAGATGGGACAGCAACATCAAGCTCTACACGGAAACCGATGAAATACCAATTAAAAAAAGGTGTTAGACAAGGCGATACCATCTCACCAAAACTGTTTACATCTTGCCTTGAGGAAATATTTAAGAAGCTAGAATGCAACGGAAATGGTATCAAAATAGGAGACGAATTTCTAAACAATCCAAGATTTGCAGATGATATCGTTCTCTTCAGTGAATGAAATGGAGCAACTGATAAACGATCTGAATAGAGAAAGTCTGAAAGTCGGACTTAAGAAAAAAGACAAGGATCATGTTCTACAGTAGAGTTCAATTCGAACAGAAACACGTACAAGGCGAAGCGAAGCGCTAGAGGTAGTGGACAAGAATGTATCCCTATATCTTCGTCTCTAGGCTCTAGGTCCGTGTGTTAATAATGCTGCTCAGGACACGTGACAGTGGTTGTGTGTTCAAAACTATTTTTATTCTCATTCTCATCTATACAAAGATACTTAAGTATGTGTGTGTGTGTGTGTGTGTGTGTGTGTGTGTGTGTGTGTGTGTGTGTGTGTGTGTGTGTGTGTGTGTGTGTGTGTGTGTGTGTGTGTGTGTGTGTGTGTGTGTGTGTGTGTGTGTGCGTGTGTGCGTGTGTGCGTGTGTGTGTGTGTGTGTGTGTGTGTGCGTGTGTGCGTGTGTGCGTGTGTGCGTGTGTGTGTGTGTGTGTGTGTGTGTGTGTGTGTGTGTGTGTGTGTGCGTGTGTGCGTGTGTGCGTGTGTGTGTGTGTGTGTGTGTGTGTGTGTGTGTGTGTGTGTGTGTGTGTGTGTGTGTGTGTGTGTGTGTGTGTGTGTGTGTGTGTGAGTGTGTGTGTGTGAGTGTGTGTGTGTGAGTGTGTGTGTGTGAGTGTGTGTGTGTGTGTGTGTGTGTGTGTGAACGTGTGCGTGAGTGCGCGCGCGTGTCGTGTGAGTACGTGTTAGTGTGACTGTGCGTGTATGTGTGCGTGCATGCGTATTGCTTGTTGTACACTGTTATATAACTGAGTAAAAGTGAAGCGAAGACATACAAATGAGCGAAGGGCACGAGAGAGTACGACAATACCACACCGAGTCTGCTGAAAATACCGGGACCAAGAGTCCGGTGCAGACGAAGCTGCAGCCGAGGGCGGGAGGCGGCGAGACCAGGCCAAGGCCGGCAGTAAGAGAGGCCGAATCTCGTGGGATGAAAATTGAACGTGAATAACTAAAAGGCCAAGCGAGTGAGGTGAGCTGAGAAAGAAGAGAAATGGGAGGAAGTATGGACATGCATGATGAGAAGAGGAGGACGCGGAGGCCGGCCGCCCAGGCGCCAACGGGCGGCCAAACTTACTCGGGTGACTTGGGCACGGCCACGGGCGCGTAGTCGGGGTCGTAGAAGTCCTCGATGTCGTCGTTGGCGGGCTCGGCCGAGATGGCCGTCCTCTTGACCCTGGCCTCGGCGCCCTCGCTCACGCCCTCCACGCCAAGGCCACGCCGCAGCGCGGGCGCGGTCATCATGGTGCGGTCATTCTGCAGGCTGTTGCGGTTGTGATGCTCGCTGTTGTTGTTGCGGTAGGCGTCGGAGGTCCAGAGCGAGCGGCGCTGGCCGCCCGCGCGCGCCGTGGCGGGCGGCGGCAGCACCGACTTCAGCTTATCCAGCTTGGTGGTCAGCGCCGCGATCTTGGCCTCCTTGGCCTGGACCTCCTCCTCCAGCCGCTGGATGATATTGTCCTTCATGGCGATGGTCTCGAGGGCCGACGAGAGCGCCGCCTGCGTGTCCCGCAGGGACGCACGCCCCTTGCCTGAGTTGCTCACACTCACGGGTGGCGGATTGCGCCCGCCACCGCCCCCGCCGTCCCCGCCACCGCCGAGGTTCTTCATAATCCACTTCTGCATTTTTGCAACACTATATCAGCATGGTCGAACTCGAGGCTGAGGGTCGCCACCCCGAGGGGCCCTAGCGCCGGGGTCGCCGCCTTCCGCAGGAGGTGGCACAACAGCGGCGGCACCAGAGCCAGCGGCGGGGTGCCTGCGGTCACAAGGCCACGCGGTCACAAGGCCACACGCTCACACGGCCGCGACGCTCGAGTGCGAAGCTCCTTCCCGCTACTCACGGACTCAGGAGAGGCTGCTCTCGGCCTTCTCTCCCCTGGCCTGCGTCGCGTTCCCGCCACCCGGCTTACAGCGGAGAGGCGATGAGCCGCGTCAGGGCACGCGCGGGGCGACGCTCGAATCTGTGCGGCCGGCGCGTGCTCCCCGCTCGCATGCTGGGTTAGTCCACATCCACAAGCAACATCAGATGCACTATCTATCTCGCTACCGGACACTGGAGTGCGTGCGGGGGAAGAAACAGCGATGCGAAGGAAACCAAACAGAAGGGTAGCACTGAGAGCATCCCAACGTCAGTGTGGACCCTCGGCTACACGATTACACTACGTGCTCAATCTCTTCTGGAAAACACCACATACACGTTTAGAAGCATTCCAAGACACTGATTTCAGTGTTTCACCAAGAAAAAAAATAATCAAGAAAAATGACTAATATCTCCATGACTAGATTATCAATATCACTTTTTTGCTGGCCGCGACCACCAGCCACGCACTCTACACATCAGTGCAATGCTCGGTGCGTGGCCCGCTCCCCTCATGGCGTGTTTTCATGAACCGTTAATATCCTTAAACTAACTTGCATGTGCATTAGCTCAGATTGGCCGGGCCCAGGAATTAATTCATGAATGCACTCCCATACCTGCTGTTTACGACACAGATCTACACGATAGGACTATGATAATTCTACAATATGCAAATACACATCACACCAATTTCGTTACATATAACAAGTGTAGGAAAAAATATCCACTACTAATCATGCAATGACAGAAACCACTTTAAAAAGGATTCGTGATGATGAACTGCCTCCTCTCCCTTCCCCCTTTCCCACTACGGCTCACAGAGTCCAAAAATCCCCACCTTAGTTTCTCGACGCGTCGCTTACGCAACTTCACACAAAGGGACGAGAGAGAATTACATTCGCCGATCCATTGACATTAGTACATTAAACAATTTCCTAAAAAAAAAGGAATACGAAAATACAAACATACTTACAAAACACATTCACTAAACATTGGAAAAACACCAATACCATGAACAACCGTGCTTACTACAAACAAGAATATACGCAATCGAAAGTAAACACACTGAGACGCATAAAACTAGAATAGAGATACGACACACGTGGCGAGAGAGAGAGTCCTTGCGGCGCCTCGGAGCGGTCACGAGGCCAGTATCCGGTGAGGGGGGCGGGGGGAGGGAGGGCAGAGGGAGAGAGGAGGAGAGAAAGAGGAGGAGAGAGGGGGGAGAGACGGAGAGAAAGGGGGAGAGGGGGGAGAGAGAGAGGGGGAGAGAGGGGGGGGAGGGAGAGGGAGTGGGAGAAAGAAAGGGGGGAAAGAGGGAGGGAGGAAGAGGAGAGAGAGAGAGAGAGAGAGAGAGAGAGAGAGAGAGAGAGAGAGAGAGAGAGAGAGAGAGAGAGAGAGAGAGAGAGAGAGAGAGAGAGAGCCTGCCTCACCTCCTACGGTGCCCCGGCCCTGTTTATATGCGTAATGTGTTACGACTTCGTCTTGATAAGCCTCTATCCCCCGCTACTCTAAGGCGCTGATGTTTTTTTTCGGATTTCTTGTTACTAAATTCATCTCTAACCGTTCTGTATCTTATTTAGTCACTTCAACCAGATATCTTTCCCGCCTCTTGTCGGCTATTCTTTTCTTTTTCCAATTCCGTCATACGGGGCCGTCTATCTACGAGTCACGCGCCAGTTTTGTCCGAGACGTTCCCAAGACTGTCATCCCTTCTTCAAATGTTTACTCGCATGTCGGGATGAATATCGAAATGGCCTTAAACATGTCGCTCTCGATCTCCTCTTCTCTATTCTCCCTATTCTCATATTTCCTTTTTTTTCCGTCTCACCTTCCTCTCTTTTCTCTTTTTTGCATCGCCACCCTCTTTTCTCTCCTCTCTCTTTTCCATCCCCTTCTCTTCTCACCCCTACTCTCTCTCCCCTTCTCTTCTAACTACCCTTTTCTCCCTCTCTTCTCTCTCCCTTTCTCCTGTAAGGCTGCCGCATTACGATCCCCCCCCCCCCCCCCGCCGTCATAGGACGCCCAAGTGGCCCTTCAAAGCGAACCAAAGTCTCCCCCTATGTCCCCGGCCGCCGTAAAAAGGAACTCGTAAATTGCGAGAGAGATAGAGAGGTAGATTGAAAGATAGATAGATAGATAAATAGATAGAGATAGATAGATAGATAGATATAGATAGATAGATAGAGAGAGAGAGAAAGTACTGAGCGCCGAGAGGGTCTTGGATCTCGCGCGTCACGACCCCGATGATTTTTGAGGTATGGCTGTGGGCGGCGGGTGGCCAGTGGGACGTACTGAGAGTGGGAGCGTTAAAGAGAGAGATATATGATGGTATATCTCTTTGTAGTAACTCGGGTGGAGAGGCTCTGTGGCAGATTTACAGGATTTCCAGCAATCACATGATGAGAAAACACATGAGCTTTTTTTCCACTGAATAGTTGGAGAGGTAAAAGGTTTGTTCCCCGGAATGCTTGCTCTGCCCTGGATACACAAACAACCGGGGATGGCCGAGCCCTAAGACAACGATAGGAGCTTGCTGACGCCTACAGAGTTTACTAACAATGTTGAACGATGATTTATAGCAACGATTCAACAACGGCCAGTTAACAGGGGAGAAGGCGACGTCTGAACTTCGTAAATAAATGAAAAGGAGGTAAAAGAGAGAAGAGAGAGAGGAAGGAGAGAGAGGGAGAGGGAGAGGGAGAGAGAGAGAGAGAGGGAGAGAGAGAGGGAGAGAGGGAGAGAGAAGAGAGAAAGAGAGAGAGAGAGAGAGAGAGAGAGAGAGAGAGAGAGAGAGAGAGAGAGAGAGAGAGAGAGAGAGAGAGAGAGAGAGGGAGGGAGGGAGAGAGAGAGAGGGAGAGAGAGAGAGGGAGAGGGAGAGGGAGAGGGAGAGAGAGAGAGAGAGAGAGAGAGAGAGAGAGAGAGAGAGAGAGAGAGAGAGAGAGAGAGAGAGAGAGAGAGAGAGAGAGAGAGAGAGGGAGAGAGAGGGAGAGAGGGGGGAGAGGGGGGAGAGGGAAAGAGGAGAGAGAGAGGGAGAGAGATAGGGAGAGAGGGAGAGAGGAGAGAGAGGAGAGAGAGAGAGAGAGAGAGAGAGAGAGAGAGAGAGAGAGAGAGAGAGAGAGAGAGAGAGAGAGGGAGAGAGGGAGTGAGGGAGAGAGGGAGAGAGGGAGAGAGGGAGAGAGGGAGAGAGGGAGAGAGGGAAGGAGCGAGGGAGAGAGAAGGAAGGAGCGAGGGAGAGAGAGGGAGCG